AAATAATTTTAAAAAAACATGCTGCACAGATATTGCAATAGTTCTAGTTATCTGGTCAACAGGCAAAAAGCAGGCACTTAAGCTCTTCAGCTCCAAACTTTTATTCATTTCTTAATGCTGAAATTTCATATTCATTTCTTCTTGTTGGATGACTAAACCTGATGGTGGTAGAGCTGGTAAACCAGTATTAACTCAACCCTGCCCTGCCCAATTTTCAGCAACTGGACTGGCTGCTTGTCTCTTTGCCATCTTGTGGTTTAGGATGTTTTTGGCATCTGCGTCAGTAATGGAGGTTGCGGCGGTACTGACATTAAGGTGGCTGCTGACAAGGTGGCTGCCCGTGTTGGTTCTCACCTCTTTGATCTCCCTTATCTTCTTCATTGCTCTCCTCTCGAGGCTGTCTGTGGGGAGGAGGGCCCCTGTGAAATCACAGTCTGTAGCTCCTACACATATTCTGCCACACTGGTCTACCTTGTCCTGCTGCACCCTGGTTTCAGCACCCGTCATCACTTCTTTCTGCACAGGAGGGTTGGAACACTGTGGTCGATGGCCGTAGTGTCCCCGCATGTAGCAAGAGGGGAACCGTCCTCTGCAGGACTGGCACTGCCATCGGGCCTGGCCTTCTGGAGCACTCTCTGATCCCTCATTCTTTTCCCCTGTCTCCCGATTCTAGCAATTCTGCCGGTAACTGCGTGGAGGACGCCTGGGATATGGATGGCATCTATCAGGTTAGGGCTGCTGTACATGTATTTCCTGCCTTGCACTGAAACTCCACCAGGGCCTGTAACACTCGCTGCCTCTGCACCTTTTTCTCCTTGAACAACATCGGACTCCACAGTCTCTCCATCTCCTACACTGCGAAGGTGCTTCCTGGTGTTATTCTTTACGGCAGGTGTACAAATATGTCTTCCTAGGTGTCATTCCTGTTGGTGAAACCATATCCGTCTTATATTGGACCATTTAACTGTTCCCCAAATCTTCATTTTTGATGATCCTCTTGTCTGCACTGGTAGGGGCTGCTGATGGGAGGCCCCGGGGAACTGAGGTGCCAGGCTTGGTGTCTGCAGCGGCTGCAAGGCCAGAGCAGCTGCGGCTCCGCCCTGGGTGTGATGGTAACGAGGCCCGCGGGTCGTGGTGGGGCTGCTCAGGGCTCTTTAGGGTTTGTTCTCACTCTCAGCTCCCACTGCCGTTCAAACTCCTGGTTCTTTCTTTTGAGATGTCCAGCTATCTCCTTATACTTCCCATATCTTAAATCAACTCATTATTTCCCTAATTTTCCATGCATCTTGCTCATTCTCCCAGTTTCTTATGATTAAAACTTTACATTTTTGAGAGTTATTTTTTTCATCCAAGCAGTCACTAAGTCCAGAATCTGTTACTCCCACTTTAACATTTTTCTTGTATATGGTGTTACTCTCTCCCCTTTCATTGCTCTGGCTAGGCCAGGCCCTTATCCACAGGGAGTACCAGGGTTGGAGGGCCCCATCTTTGGCAGAGTGCCACTACCTTATGCTTCCAAGATGGTGATTTTTCCACAAGGCTGCAGTTTCTTTAGGGCTGTTAGGTGTGGGTTCACCAGCACTTAGCACAGTTCCTGACTTCAAAGAGGCATTTTTAAAATAGTTTTTCATCCTTGGCTGGTGTGGCTCAGTGGATTTAGCATTGGACTGGAAATTGAAATGTTGCTGGTTTGATTCCTGGTCAGAGCACATGCCTGGTTTGCAGGACAGGCTCCCAGTTAAGGGCTTGCGAGAAGCAGCTGATCCATGTTTTTCTCCCTCTCTTTCTCCCTCAATTCCCCTGTCTCTAAAAATTAATAAATAAAATCTTTTTTAAAATAGTTTTTTAGTTGCAGTCTATCTTGATGGGGTTTTTCTGTAGACCTACATTGTTGGAAACGCCTCATAGAGTAAATATGTTGATTCCTTTATTCACAGAATTGTGTGTTAGATCTGTGGGTAGGAACTACAAGACAGAACTGCTAAAACTATGAAAGACCTCATAATCTAATTATCTTTATCTTAGGTTTTTGTATATCCCAAAGAGCTGTACTATTTTAGGGAGTAATAGGTTAGGAATGAGTATGATTTGAACTTACTCATGTTTAGTGGGCCCCAAAGTACATTGTTTGAAGAAATTGGGTCCCAATGATTACAGGTGGGGAATTTTTGAAGTATACCGATACTCAAGTGGAGATTAAAGAAGCTCAACTAAAACAATGTGGACTGACTGACATGGCAACTAGATTGAGCAAAAAAGGGATTAAGAGGTTCAGACTAAAGAACTAAGTGTGTGGAAGGAACTTAGGCAGGAACTAAGGCAGTGGAAGAACATAAACATGTGGAATTCCTTAAATAAAAATGTATCAACATTTTTTTTAGATTTTATTTATTTATTTTTAGAGAGAGGAAGGGAGGGAGAAAGAGAGGAAGAGAATCTACATCAATCAGTTGCCTCGCACATGCCCCCAACTGGGGACCTGGCCCGCAACCCAGGCATGTGCCCTGACTGGGAATTGAACCTGCAACCTTTTAATTCGCATGCCAGCACTCAGTTCCCTGAGCCACACCAGCCAGGGCAAAATTTACTAACTTTAAAAAAGTAAAATAACATAGTTTTTCTTTTTTTAAAGCTGCTGATGCAGCCTGTCCTGTAGTTAAGCCCCAAAAGAACCATTTTCAATTTCACTCCACCTTCCCCATAGACAGAAGCTTAGAAACCTTCAGAAGACCCAGGGTTCTTATTGCCTTCAGCCTCAGGCTCCTCAGATTGTTCAGACCTTTCATTACCTACAGATATTTACCATCGAGAAAGAAGGTGAAGGGACTAGGCAAAGAACATACACGCACCACTCATAGACATGGGAAACAGTGCAATGATGGCCAGGTGGGGGCTGGGTGGAGGTGGGTAGAAGGAAGGAAATGGGGACATCTGTAATAGTGTCAACAATAAAAATTAAGAAAAAATATTTACCATCTATGCTTTCCCTTCATGGCCCTCCCCCACCTTTTATTTTTTTAAACATCCGTAGCCTCCTATCTGGCCTGAAAATTTACCTTCCACTCTGTCCCCCACTTGCCTTTGTTCCTATTATTACTCTTGCCGAATAGTTCTTTCAGGACTTCATTAGTCAAGCCTGAGTCAGATCTTCTTAGGAGCCCTCTATGGCTACCACCAAGCGTCACTGTCATTCCTTTGAATTCTAGAAGCATTAGTTGTCAATCTCTCATCTCAGCGCTTAAAAGTAACTTAACTTACTTTGTATTTAACTCCTTCATGAGCATCCTGCTTGTCTCAACTGGATTTCAAAGTACAGAAGGCTTTATGTGCTAAAAATATAGTAGGTTCATATTCCATTTGTGTTGTAAACATAGTAGCCCTCGCTTAATATGTTTTAAATTTATGACATGAAAATAAGTGAATAATTTTATGTGTTTCTCTTAATCAGAGACATGCATCCTGTTCTCTTAACATTATTTAAGCAGTACGCTCAGAGCTGTAGATACAAAAATGAATAAGGCAGATCTCTACCCTGGAGCTTAGTTGCTTAGTCTGGAGGAGGACATTTGGATAAGTGGCGTTTTATACTGAAATTTGGCAAACTGTACTGAAGATACACAGTGTTACAAAGACAATAAGGGAGGACTTACAATACCTAATGAGGTCAGGAAAAGCTTCTAGAGCTAACATCTTAATCGGGATGTCTATGAACAGGCAACTTCTATTGGCATTCAGAAGTCAAAGAATACAGAAAATGCACTTATTCCAGGTCTAGGAGGCAACTTGATGATGAAAGACCATAGAGAGGTGAAAGGGCAGGCTGTTAGGGAACATTGTGGTGGTCAGAAAACAAGATATGTGAGAGGGAGTGGTAGGAAATAAAGTAGAAAGATGCACTGGAGCTAGAGTAAAGAGCCTACTACCCAGTCATAGAGGTAGTGCTAAGGAGAAAGAAGTTGGGGTTGTTCAATACAGTTAGTGATTGATACTGTTGATGTAAGAAATGTACAAACCTATAGAGAATTTTTATCAATTTATTTGAGCCAAACTGATGACAATGGCTAGGAAGCAAAATATAAATGGATTGAGAAAATGCCCTGGAGAACGGCAGTTTTGCAGCTTACTTTATACAGTAGAATGAAAGGAGATGTTAGGAGGGTTATATGAAATCCCTTGGTGGTAGATTAGGGAGATGGGAGAAGGCAAATGTGGGAAATCTCTGGGATTGGATAAAAGGCAAAACGGAGAAACCCATACTTCTTTTACATTTTATAGGATAGTTAATAAGCATTTACAACACATAGTGATGGTATGTAGGGAACAAGATAACAATGAGGGGCTGCTGTTGTCTCCTGTTCTGGTGCCCACAGTTGCCCATTGATGGGGTCATGAAAAGATTACTCTGACATTTCAAAGGTATGTTATCTCAGATGCACGTAAACATTGACCTTTGCCAAGGAAGTTACAGGCCTAGGACATTACCACCCCCACGACTAGCTTTCTGTTAGGAATTCTTAAGTTCTGACCATCCTATGCGGTTACTTTCAGTCTCTGAGATACTAGGGCCTACCATTGCAGGCCTCCCCCGAACTTCTCAGGTTTAGTAGGAACCCCACCTCCATTCACCATTCAGTGGGATTAATTCAGCACTAAGAGCTCCTGGGCACGAAGATAACTAACACGGTAATAGAAGAAGCCCGGCGGAGACCTAGTCACGCGCTGTGAATCAGGACGTGGCAACCAAACGGCCCCGCCCACAAGCTGCCCGGAGTATGGGGCTGGGGCTGAGGCTGGCCATCCCGCAGGACCCAGGACCAGTTGGGCTGGAATTCGATCCACGCAACTAGGCGCGCTGGCGGGGACGTGGCGCTTTCCAGCCAATCCCGGCTACGCAATTGTGGGACCAATGGCTACCCAGGGAAGCTCTACGTCAGATGCGGTTTTGTTGTTGATTGGTCAAGCCGCCGCTGGAGAGGCGGGTAAGGGCGGGGCGCAGAGCCGCTTCCGGTTAGGTGGTGCTTGCGCGCGTGAGCTGAGCCGGTGGGTGAGCTGTGGCAGTGGCAACTTGGGCTGTAGGTGCTACCAGGGAAGGTAAGTGCGGCGGAGTTCGACCCTTTCTCCGCAGACTCGTCCTTTTTCGCTTTCTTTTGTACTTCAGACCTCGCCCCTGGTGCGGCAGCGGCCTTTCTCATTCCTGGCCTGTGTTCCTGCTAGTTCGAGGACCTGGGGCCTGAGCCGGCTCGCGACCCTGTGGCCTTCGGCGCGCAACCTCGGTTGGAAGTCGCCGCTTGCCTTCTGGCGCGCTGTGGGAAGGGGCCTCGGACTTGGCGAAGTCTGGCTCCCGGCTTTATGTCCCCTGGGGTAGTGTTTCGTGCCTGGCTTGCCACGTCCTCGTCCTCCGTCCCTGGGCCCCACCACTCACCGAGCCCTCGGACTAGAGGGTCATTCTTGTTTATCTCCTGAAGGTCAGAGGGCAGTCGGGTACTGTTATTGGAACAGCTCCCTGCCACCTTCCTCTCTCGAGCCTGCTTGTGTCTGCCAACCCCGCCCCAAGGCCACATCCCGAGAGTACGGTGCATCTGCCAGGAAAGTCGTGTTCGCTGACTCTGAGGGTGTAGAAACAAGGGGGAGAAGAAAGCATGAAAATACTTTGATTTAAAGAAAAAATACTTTGTATAATATTAAAGACAAGACGAATGTTTCGAGGTTCCACCTTTAGCTGCATACTTAGCGACGGGAAAAAGTTTTAAAAGCTTTCTTTGAGAATTGTATTTTTACCTTGTCTTGTAGCGTCTGCCTCAGCGTCTAATTACGATTTTTAGCATGCTCCAAGTAAAAACTTAATTCCCTGCAGCTGCCCTGACTAAGAGAATGGTAGTGTGGTTTGCAGTTTCGAAAGCTGTTTTTGCATAGAGGCGAAAGTTCTTTGGGTCTGCTGATAAAACTTGAGGGCCTTCGATCTCAGTTCCTAAGTGTATAAACTCACAGAATAGTGTCTTTGAGAACTGAATTTCGTTTACTTCCTAGCATAGACCATAAAGTCAGTATTAATAAGTCGTGAATAAGGTTGCTGGTAGGTAGAAAACTTTCGTCTCTGATAAATTAATCTTTGTCATAGAATGGAACTTAACGTAAGACAAATGCATGTTTGACCGTACTCAGTAGATTTAGTTAACCAAATGCCAAACCGTGGCCATAACTGAAGAATTTATGTAGTACTGTCTAGTGTGCAAATAAAGGGTCCAGATAGATAATCTGTAAATTGTTTGATAGATAACCTGTAAATTTCCCCCCAATTGAATTTATTTATAAAAAAATTGTGTATTTATTCTTAGGTGTTTAAACTTCAGTCACCTTCAAAGTACTCTCCATTTGATGCAATACACCTATCAAATTTTTTCCAACGCTCAAAACAGTTTTTGAAGTTGTTGATTTTGATGTCTTTTAGTGCTTCTGCCATTATTTTGTTTCACCTCTTCTGCATTGGCAGAATGTTTCCCTTTGAGGACTCTCTTCATTGGAGAAACAAAAAAAGTCACTCAGGATGAGATTGTGTGAGTAGGGAGGGTGGCGCATGGGGTCATGCTGTTTTGGGTCAAAAACAGCTGAACACTCAGCCAGGTGTGGGCAGGAAATCACCCATCATGAAATGGGCAAACAAATTGGAAGAATCTTCCAAAAAATTCACCGAAGCCCAACGCAGCCTCTCACACCACCACCAGCTCGTGCACTGATACACTAGCGCACTGGATTCCCATTGTAGAACACTCACCTAGCAGAGGAAGCCTGTACTGTAAGGGGCCCACACTCCAGAAGCTAATTCTGGTTGTTTTGGGGTCCCCCCTCATGTTTATGTGTAGAGAGGATGCGTTTGCTCGGGCATAATCTGGGTTTTACCGTGATTCAGGGGTCTTCAGTAGGATCCTCTTGAGAATCACAACTGGGAGAACTGTGAGCGGACAAAGATGAACTGAGTATGTCTGAGTGGGTGGTACTCAGATACAACTTTGAAACCAACTCTTTCATCACTCAGTTTGCTTCCATTGATCCACTAATGTGCCCAAAGATACTTATTGGTGGTATTTTATATACATTGCATCAGTATAGATTATTAATACATTGATAGTAGCACATTTTTCTATATCACGGGCAGTGGAAGGACAGAAGTAGCCAACGGATAGCTGTTGGAGATGGTTGTTAAGCCATAATATCTTAGATCCTCTGTGAACTCTTAAAATATGCTTTTTGTTGATGTTGTAATTTATGTATTAGAGTTAAGTCTGCTGAAATAACACTTTTCCTGTTGCTGGCCGATGGCCACATCCGGTAAGGAGAATTGGGGGTTGGGGAGCATCAACAGGCAGGAACTACATTGCTGCCAAGCATCGTCCAACTAATCCAGTAAAATGTATTGGTATATAAAAAGTGCAGACACTGTATTAGGGATTGTAGATGGAAATTAATTTATGTTAGCTGAGATCCATGCCTTCCAAAAAGTTGGCATCTATAAGGGAGTTAAAGAGACAGTTTAAAATAGCCTCTGGTTATTATTGTGGAGTGGTACAAGCAAGTTATATAAAAGTTTAGAACAGCAATTTTCAACTGGTGTGCAGCAAGAGGCATACTGATGTGCCACAAGAATTTTTAAAACATGGTATCTAACTATTTAGTAAGGGACAGTGACCTTTTTTGCCTTACATTGTCAAATAAAAAAAGACAGCAGCCAGCACAATAGCTGTCGGTGTGAGTAAATCAAAATTATACCTACTTTTGTCAGATGGGCAAAAAAATGTATTATTTGGTGTGCCACATAATATTAGTAATTAGTTTATGTGTGCCATGAAATGAAAAAGGTTGAAAATTGCTGGTTAGAGGAATGGGTACAGATCACTTCCAGCTGGAGTGATAATATGAGATAGGTTTTTTTCATCTACGATAAAAATGATCTATAGACATTTGGCACTGAAGGGAGGTTGAGCTAAAATAAGTACCAAATTCTCAAGGACTTTTATGCATGTTATATGTGCACAGAATTACAACTAGAAACCAAGACTCTTGTCCCTACATTTTGTAGCATTCCTATGGCAATTAATTTATGTATTAAAGTTTTAAAGAAAATTTTTCATTCTGTAGCCAGAAAAGTTTAAAGTTTGTACCAGTGAAGCCTGAGTAATAAGTTTGTCATTCTCAGAGCTTTTCTTCTACAACCAAATTTTGCACTTTTATGTACTCAGTTGTCTTATAAACGTGTGCCCTCACACAAATAATTAATTACACTGTGTTAATGAACTAATGTAGATTTGCTTCATCATGAGAGAAACATTGAATAAATGGTGTATCATTATCATAACAGTCTCTCTCTAATTTTTTTTCCTTTTTTTTTGGCACATGCCCTGGGAATCAAACCCGCGACCTTTCACTCTATGGGATAGTACTCCAACCAAGTGAGCCACACTAATCAGGGCTCATTATCATAACTTATCAAATCATGAAGGATGACATTATTACTTTAATGTGATAATCTATTGCTGGTACTTGTCCCAAGTTTTGCAAGAATGTCAGATTGATAACCAAATAGCTTTAATTTCTACATTTCATAACCTGGGCCTTAGTATAGTTACTGTATTTTGCCGTGTATAATGTGCGCCTGCATTTTTGTTCGCATTATACATGGGATTATTATCCCTGTTGTTATACCCATGGTATGTAATCATTATAGCCATGTATAATGTGCATCCTTATTTTTCCCCTCAAAAATTTGAACAAGAAAAATGCTCATTATACATGGCAGAACATGGGTGAATTGCCATTAGGCTGTCCTGTCCCCCTTCTACTCCCCCATTCACGATTGAAGTAGACACTTAAGCATCGAGATCCTGCTTTTGCTGCATTATAGAGGAACGCTTTTTTTCCTGATTATCCAGCTCAGAGAACTGGAATTTTATCACCACACCCATTTCTCCCATATTGAGCAATGAGTCTTTGGTCAACCAGAATAACTTTTGGATCACTCAGTGTTAATATTCTTGAGAAACTGAATTTAATCCAGGCATCTAAATTTCCCAGAAACAATTTACTCTAAGCATTCTGTGACCAACAGATTTTTGCAAAAAATGACTTGAAGGAGGAGGAAGAATTGGCAAGAATTTAAAGCTTTCAAGGAAATTTTTGAATGGATAAAATAAACTGATTCTTAAGTCTCGTTATTGAACGAAATTCTGGCTTATGCCATTATTATTTTCTTCTTACAAATTTATAGGAACAGTTCATGAAAATAACTCAGAAGAAAATTATTGGTGATGTTCTATAAGAGGATGGTGATAGCTTTTCTAGCCCTTTTGTTCGTGTCTCTAATATGGCACGATCCAATAGAAATATGAGTGTAATACAAGCCACACATGTAACTTTTAAGTTTTCCTGTGAAAATTTTAAACAGGTGAAATTATTTTTAACTTAATCCAGTATGTACAGAATACCATTTGTTCAATAATAAAATATAACACTAATACCACATCTTAATTCACATTAGCCACATTTTAAATGCTTAGAAGCCACATGTGACTAGTAGCTGCTGTCCTGGGCAGTGCAAGCCTAAACTTTTTTTTTTTTTTAGGAAAAAATACTAGATGTTACCAGCCCTGGCCAGTGTGGCTCAGTTGGTTGGAGTATCGTCCTGTAGCTGAAAGGTGGCAGGTTCGATTCCCAGTCAGGGCACACGTCTAGATTGCTGGTTTGATCCCTGGTCTGGGTGCAGGTGCGTGAGAGCCCTGGTTGGGTTGCATGGCATCCCCGGTCCAGGCTCCCATCCTGGCACATTTGGGAAGCAACAAGTTGATGCTTCTCTCTCGCACATACATTTCTCTCTCGTCCCCTCTCTCTAAAAGCAGTGGGAAATGTGACCTCTGGTGAAGATTTAAAAAAAAAAAAAAAAAAAAAAAAAGTGGGACAGAATTTTAGAGAGAGTAACTTATAGATCATTTGAGAAATGGGAGATGGGAAGATGGATTTATCACAACCATTGATTTACCAACTAGATTATATGGTAAAAGTTTATACAACCAAGTCCTTCACTTATGTTTATCATATATTTT